CCCCCCCCCCCAAAATTATATGTGTATTAGTGTTTTGCCTGCATGTTATGTAAGTACACCAGAAGCATGCACTACCCACAGAGACCAGAAGAGGGCATCGTCCACCTTTTATACAGTCTCATTGAACCTGGAGTTTGCTATTTCCATTAGCCTGACCAGCCAGCAAGGCCCCAGGATCCACTTGGCCCTGGCCCTGGGGTTATCATGTACACACACTGCTCTTCCAGCTTTAGTTTTTTATGTGTAGGAGTGTTTTGCCTGCATTATGTAAGTACACCATGTGCCTGTGGAGGTCAGAGAAGGTGTCAGATCCCCTAGAACTGAAGAGACAGATGGTTGTGAGCCACCATGTGGATGCTGGGAACCAAACTGGGTCCTCTGCAAGAGCAGCCAGTGCTCTTAACCGCTGAACCTCTTTGTGGAGGCTAAGGATCCAATTCAGGTCCTCATGTTTACACAGCTGAACCATTTCCCCAGCCCTCTATCTTACTTTTTGAAATGAAGTCTCAGTGAACCCCAAGCTCTGATTTGTCTAGACTGGCTGCCCAACAAGTCCAAAGGAACCTCTTTTCCTCCCCAGCACTGGGATTACAGAAACTCACCACTATGCCTGACTTAAAAAATATATATACATATATATAATTTTATTATTTTGTGTATATATGTGTATTGCCTGCCTGTGTGTAAGTGCACCCTGCAGAGGTAGGAGAAGACATCTGATCCCCTGGAACTGGAGTTAGCAATGATTACTAGCCACCATGTGGGTGCTGGGAATTGAACCTGGGTCCTCTACAAGAGCAGTCAGTGCCCTTAACTGCTGAGCCATCTCTCCAGCCTCTATCTGGCTTTTAAGTGGGTTCCTCATGTTCATTCTACCAGCTGAGTCATTTCCCCAGCCCAGTAAATGCATTTAACATATCCAATATCAAAGCTACTCCTTCCATCTTATATCCTCCCTCCCTCCCAACCCCCTTCCCCCTCAACTCCTAGGCTCAAGTAACCTGCCTCAGTCTCTGGAGTAGTTGGGACTACCAGTGTACACTGTCACACAGGTCTTCCTCTTATAAAAGTCTTAAATGAAGCCCTGTAATCCCAGCAACTCTGAAGGCAGAGCCTAAACCAGGGTGTTGGGCGGGGGGCGGGGGGCGGGGGGAGATTAGGGCCAAAGTTCAACAGCAAGCTATATGCCCTAGGTTCAGTCCCCAGTACTGAAGAAAAAATTTTGTGGGTTTTTTTGGGGGGGGGCCTTTTTGAGACAGGGTCTCTCTGTAACCCCAGCTGGCCTGGAACTCGCTTTGTAGACCAGGCTGGACTTGAACTCAGAGATCCACCCTCCTCGGCCTCTTGCCTCCCAAGTGCTGGGATTAAAGGCGTGTGCCACATGCCTGGCTAAAAACAGTTTTTAAAAATAATTTATTTTTATTTTCTGTGTATATTACCTGCATGTATGTAAGTGTACCCATGTCATGCAATGCCTGAGGAGGTCAGAAGAGGGCATTGCAGTTCCCTGGAACTGGAGTTACAGTTGTTAGGGGCCATGTGGGTACTGGGAATCCAACCCCAGTCCTCTGTAAGAGCAGCCAGTGCTCTTAACCACTGAGCCATCTCTCCAGTCCCCATCCCCCCAAAAAGTTTTAAACTACTAGGTATAGTACAAGGAAATTAAATCACTGCTGTGCTCAAGCATACTATTCTGAAAGTGGCTCTAAGAAATCAGCTACGATCAATGTGTCTAATCTAAGGATTCATATTACATCCTAGATAGGCTGGGGATATTAGACACCAGTGCTTTTATTAATATCATAGAAAATAAGGAGACAAGACAAGCTTTTCCTGTAGTTCTGTTAGACTTCTGATCTGTAATGATGAGTGGTTTGGCCCATTTCTCTTCCTAGGTAATTGGAACAGGTGTGTGTGTGTGTGTGTGTGTGTGTGTGTGTGTGTGTGTGTTACTTTCCTCTTCCACGCTCTCTTGCTCTTATTTACACACGTGATTCTGCTCTCAAGTGCAATCCGTCTAACTTTATAGTTTCCCTTGTAACATTTAATTAGAACATTTGGGTGAGCTCTGGGGCAGCTGGAGGAGAGAACACTTGTGCCTTAAGATTAAATTCCTGGTTAGTCAGTGTTGAAAATTCAGGATCAGGATCACCCTGGACACCAGGGTTTGGGCAGATCATAGGACAATGGGCTTTATGTTCTGCTGCAAACACCTGGGCATTTACTGCCCTCTTCCCTTACTAATATTAGATCTCATTTCTATTGCTTGCAAATACATGTTTAAGTGGGAGCACAGAGGCAGCGTCTGGCTGGCGTAAATCCTGAGTGTGAGGGTTAAGTGAGCTGG